AAAAAAAAAAAAAAAAGCAAAGCAAAGTTGTTGGGGGAGGGGACGTGCCCCCTAGCCCCCTGGGCCAGCAAGTGAAACCTCCTACATCCCACTCAAAAATACGAGTAATACTTTTTATAGTGAAAACTATCGATAGTTGTACTACGCAACATGTACACGAAAATTTGTTATTTAATATTTTAATGTGATATTTTTTATTACCTTATGTATCACATAACAAATTGTCAGGTATATATGGTCTAGTACGATTATCGATAATTTTGATTAAGAAAAGTACACTAAATTCATATTGTGTTGATAAAAAATTTCAAATTGGTCCTGTTTCTCCAAATGTTTACTCAGCTAGAAATACTTGCATATAGAAAAGTCTAAACAATGGAAGCACACTTGTGCGGACTCGGGAGTCGGGATCACACACCACATTTTTTATAAATACATCACGTTTTAATTATATTAAATTTTTTAAACATTTATTTATCATCACATCCGTTTGATTCTCATTATTGTAGAATGAGAATGAAAAATATAGTCGTTATTAGGCCTTACGCAAAGATATAGAAATTCAAAATTGAGGGTTGATGTGATGGATGACAATCATATTTTTCATTTTTATGGATGAAAAATGAGAAACAAACGTGAGCTTATATTTTTAACTTTTTTCTCCATCGCATTTTTATTTTTAACATATATTGATCAGAAAATTTTGTCATTAATTATAGTTTTCGTCGAAAAATATCGTTAACGTTCTTAAAAGTGAGGGCCAAATATTTAATCGTATTTTTGTATTATTGTTTATTTCGCTTATTCAAAATTACAATGGACAATTGAATCTTTTTACTCTAATTTAAAGAAATATTTAAAGAGAATACAAGAAGTACATAATCAAGAATAATTTATGTTAATTTGAAAATATGAATGCGATAAAAAAAATTATGACATAAATGTGTAAATGCTATGAACATTTTACACAATTAATATGTAATCTAGTTATTAAAAACTACGGTATATGCTGTATATTTAGCTTCTGCAGAAATGATAGGGGTGATATGGTGGCTGCCCAGTCTAAATTCATTGCCAAACGAGCGTAGCACGAAACTTTCATATGGAGGTAGGCCTCGCCATCTCGACAGTAGAATCGGGTTGTTGCAATGTTGTAACTTGTAAGTAGACACTCCCAAATGGGGATGTTAATGAATAATATAGATTTGTGAAATACGGATATAATTGATGTTAGAATTGACAAGAGTAATTTATATTACCATTACGAAATTTGTTTGTTTCACTACAATTTTAAATAATGGTTTAATCTATTTAAATGGTCCTAAGTAGAATTACATTAATAACCATCCTTTTAAATAACTTTTTTGAACTAATTTTTTCTTCAGTTCCACAACCACCGTTAAACTCGTCTTCTTTTTCATCCATGTGGCGGATGGTGCAACTTTTTTTTTTCATCATCACCGGCGGGGTGGGGTAAGATCTGTGTGGCTAGGAATTTGAAATGGGGTTGGGTGGGGGAAGTACTTTTTGGACAGAATTAGAAAATGGAAGTTTATGGGTGAGTGGAAGAAGTGTTTCACTTTTTTTTACCAGTGGTGGTGGAGTGGGAAAGTTTTTTCCATGGACAAAATTAGAATGACTTGGGATGGAGATAGAGAATGGAAGACATATATTATTGAGAAGGGGTGTACACCACAATAAATTCTATCAACTATATTCCCCAAAACCCCAAAAGATCAAATTGGTGAAATGGCGGGGCAAAACCCTAACTTCAAAATTTCGGCCTAAATTGTTGAATTGAATTACTAAGATGGTGATTCTCTTCGACTACATAGAAGAAAACCGGATGACGACAACATCAATCACGTCGTTTACCGTCTCGTTTGATCCGTCGAACCCTTTAGGGTTTCTGGAGAAGGGTTTTGAGTTCGTTGCGCGAGAGATACTTATTCAAGAGCTATTCCTTGATAAAAGACGTGAGTGCTGTGATTAGATTGGTGACGGAAAAAGCGGTAGTCGAAGAGGAAAGAATTGAAGACCGAAGAAGTGCAAAAGCTGGAAAGAAAGTGGAGGATCCACCATTGGCTACAGACACTACAGATGTGGAAATGGAAGCGTTGAACCCGGAGGTCAAGGAAAAGGAAAATGATACTAAAGAGGACGAGAAAAAGGGCCTCTAGGTACCCTTCAATTTTTATTGCAATATTGTTATTGATTACAAGAGGATTTTCTAGAATCCAGTTCTAGATGTATTACTTTTTGCATATAATGGCTCTATTGAATCAATATTTTGCCTTGTCTTCTACGAACTCAGACTGGCCATATTCTTGTGATTTATTTCTTCAGAAAGTTCCCGTTTTTCTGAGTGCAGTTAGGTATTTCTTTACCGATTATGTCATTTTTTCTGTGTAAGGCTAGATTCTGTTTAAATTTGTCCACTGTATGCTTTAGCCGTTCTGGGATTTTAGCTGTGTTGATTGATGTTCACAAGGCATTAGAGTGTCATGAAAGTAATGCATTGATAAAGTGTGGCTTTCAAATATTTATCCTGTTTAATTTGTATAGCTGCTAAGAAAGGCTGTGGGATTCTTGATTTGCAGTACTCGTGTACCGCTTGTGTTTGATTTTCAGCATGGAAGAAAATATGAGAACGTATTGTTATATCTTTCTTCTTTTGTCATGGTTTGGAACTCTATTTGCTTGTGTTCAATTGCATTGGAATATTGTGAATCTATATATTTCTTCAAGAACATTGTAAGGAAGAAGGATGAGGAGAAGATATCTTCAATCTCGAATCGTGCATTGTTTTTATTGACTGCATGGGGAAATAATGGACATGGCTTAGGGGAAAATCCTTCTCAACGTGCAGCCGAAAAAAAAAAATAAAAAAATAAAACCACCAGGAAAGTGAAAACATGAATTAAACATGACTTTACTGTAATTCTTCATTGAACAGCATTAGTTAAACTTTCATTCCCATACAAATTGCCTTTTGCAAAAATTCCATATTGCTCTAATTCCTTCTGTGTACGACTGCCCAATTGTTCACTTATTTAATTGACGTAATCAACTTAAATAAAAGAAATCAAAATTTAATTTGTCAAATGCCTAACACTTTAGAGTGTGGGAACATGAACAGGTGCCTGGGAGATTTTGATTTGTTATTTCGTGCTTTTGGTAAATCTTTGTAGTATTTGTGGAAGTCATTTCATTGATAGATGTAAACTTCTTGAAGAAAGGGAAAACAGACTGACACAATTTTTCTTTTTTCCCTTGGAGTTAAAGTATGAGGTTAAATGGTATCCAGAATCTTAACTGCATTCTACTTTTGGGATTCTACAAAAGGAAGTCATGACTTGCGAGGAAAGAGAACTTGTCATTTTGGAAATTCTCTACTAGTTAAATTTCTTAGATTTGATTTTCATACTTGATTTCAGTTTTAGTGTTTCTTAACTGCGTCTGCCATGCATTACTGACTTGCTACTGTATTCCAGTGCTATCAACGGTCACACTGTAAATTACATGGCAGCGTGTTAATTAGAAGTAGGCAAATTACTCGCTAAACCTTCGAACTCGACCGTTGGGTGGGTTTGGTCTTGTTTCGTGGTTTGATTCTGGTAGCTTCCAAATTCCAATTTGCTATTTGTCGGGTCGGGTCGGGTCGGGTCGGTTAAGCAACCAACCCGAGTAGACCCAACCCTTCATTTTTATTATTATTTTTAATCTTTTAAAATTCAAATTTAAAATTTAATTTTAAATCAACAATACAAATATAAAAGCAAACCTAATTATCATTTGCTTCAGTACTCATTCCAAACAGTTGTCGCCGCCCCTCTCCTTCTCATCTCCGATCAGCCCATTAGATGTCATAAAAAATGCAGTCAAGTAAGTCCTTTATGATTCAAAATTGGTTCTTTTTCTCAATTTAGATTCTCAGTTTGGTGCTTAATGGGAATAAAGGACCCCATTTGAGTAATTGAATCGATTTATGGCATAGGACCTTTATTGATAACCATTGAAAATGAATTGTTGTGATCTGATTGATTTTTGATTCTATTTATAAAACGAGATCCTTTGAAAAATGTAACTCATTTCTTTAGGCCATTGGCCATCCGTCGGGAGTTCTAGATTTAATATTGATATTTTAGTAACAAATCAAATAAATCTAAGTGTAGTAATTGGTGTTGATCTTTTTTGGAAATGGAGTGTGAGAGAGTTGTTATATCAAGAATAGGCCAAATTCAATTGCCTGGACATTTTTCCTTTATAACTAGCTAGGAAAGAAAGGAATTTGACCTAACCAAATCGAACTGATCGCTTCGGTTTTCAAGATGAATTGGGTCGGTTTCGGATTGGAATTCACCTAAACCGACCAAGTCAGTTTCGGTTTTGGGTTGGGCCCAAAACTGGTCCAACCTGACCAACCCCCACCCGTAGTGTTAATTTCTTATTTTTGCTTATGCTCATGAAATGCTATGTATATATTTGATATTCTATACATGTGACTAGTGACTTCCAACCATCCGTTCTTCTACTTGTTTAGGGAAGACAACGATGTGTTGGTTACTAACTGTTCTTACGTATATGAGCAGCTCCTAACAAAGGCAATGGTCTCGATATGGATAAGGACTCTTGGGGTCAATCTTTGCAAGAGGTTAATGTTGTTGTTCCTGTACCTCCTGGAACAAAGTCAAAAGCACTTGTGTGTGAATTTAAGAAGAACCATCTTAAAGTTGGGATCAAAGGTCATCCTCCAGTAATTGACGTAAGTGTGTCGTGCTGTTCCATGGATCATCACGTGCTGTTCTCTTAGAATAAAAAGTTAAGACTTATGTTTGATTGCTTGCAGGGCGAACTCTTCCAGTCTATTAAGGTCGATGATAGCTTCTGGACCTTAGGTAGTTAGGTCTTATTACATATTCTACAGACGTGCATTATAAACACACACACGCACGCACACCCAAGTATATATTCTTGATTTGTCTATTGCTTGATCACAAAATGTTTGTCGGTTGTTCTTTGGAAGGAAATGAATGTCTGACTATAGTCAACTTCTTGTAGAGGATCAGAAATCTGTCTCTATCCTCCTTACCAAGCAGACCCAGATGGACTGGTGGAAGTATCTGGTGAAGGGTGAGCCAGAGATTGATACCCAGAAAATAGAACCTGAAACCATCCGACTTTCGAATTTGGACACCGAAACACGTTCTACTGTGGAAAAGATGATGGTAAGCGTTGGTACACTATAGCAGCATTTGCACCTATGTTTTTACTTTCATGACCACTTACATGTGTGTGTCGTGTTCATATGATATCTATTTTGAAGATTGCTTTTCAATTGAGACTATATTTGTCCAGCCTCGAAATGGTGACTCAATTTTTGGGCAATTTTTTTTAAGTATTTCAGTTTATCTTAAAATGTTATCTGCAGTTTGACCAACGACAAAAATCCTTGGGCCTTCCGACAAGTGATGAAATGCAGAAGCAAGAGATTCTAAAGAAGTTTATGGCAGAGGTGAACACTAAATGACTTACCTCACACTTTCTCATCTCATTCCTTTGGCATTACTGTGTATTTCCAAGTTACGGTGATTTAATTTACTGATTTGAGTTTATGAATTTTTTCCAGCATCCAGAGATGGACTCTTGAGGGGTGAAAAGTTTGGTAATGAGCTAGAGATGGCTTTCTTTACATGTTATGTTGCTACTAAATATGATACCTCCGTCGATAGAAACTATTGGTAATCCTTTTGGGCTTCTCGATTGACTTTCAAACGGCTTTGCTTTTGTGAACTTTTACTTGTGGTCCACCTGAGAGGCTTCTTTTTAATATCTTTCGTCTACATGAATAAGCGACGGCGTTGAACTTAGTGGTAAATTATAATTTTCCTGTTACTCAACTATCTTCGTTAAATATTGAGCATTGTTTTCGAAGTTTGCTTTACCATTAATAGAAGTATTAAAAGTAAGATTTAGAATAATTTGAATCCTTTTTCCGACTGTGTTAATCAGATTAACCCTTTAATGGATAATTTTCATAGAAAATAAAGTCAAACGAACACCAAAAAATCTAAAATTTCAACATTTTCAAAGTGGAAAATTATACTAATCAAATACAATTAATTAACAATTCTCAGGAAAATAATTCTAGGCAATTAAATTTCTGTAATTCATTTTCTTTCCACACAAATTTCACTCTTGCAATCAGAACTTACCTTCTAAAAGAGTTTGTTTCATTAACGAAAAAAGAAGTAATTTGAAAAGCATATTTAGCAAAATAATTGCACGCTCGTCTATGGTGAGTGCAATCACATGATGACATGCATATCACTTTCTACAAAAAGGCTATGGACCCAGAAAATGTTATCTCTATTGTCTAGTTCCAATTAGATGGTGATTTTTCTTTTTTGTTCTGTTCTAGTGCATTTATTCAGCACCTGCAAACAAAATGCATAGTAACAACTGAAATTGTTTATTAATTTGGAACGAAAGAGGCTATGAAAATGAGATATTTGTTTTCAAAATAATTGCAGCCTAACTTCCGAGGGCTACTCTTTTCTTTTGTCGTTTTGTAAGTTTTGTTTTCAATGAATATTCTTCCCCCATGCACTATGTTTGTTAGGACATATTGTACTATATTTTCTCTTTGTACTTGGTTATACAATGTACTGTGAATGTGCAATTAACACAAAGAAGAGACAAAAATGCTAGCGTTTACTGTCATGTCGTGACACTTACGGGCCAAGGTTTACGTAATTGTAACAAAATCAGTTTTCTAAGGTGGCAAGATCGAGCTTCACAAAATTCATTTTCATTTAGAATTGTTATGAACTTCGAAATTTGTAAAGAAGAACTAAATGAATAATATATTAGTAAGATGTCTTAATGACAATAATGTAGTCTATGTAGCAGTAGAAAATGAGGCAAGATTTAAGTAATTTTTTAAGTGGAAACTAACCATTTGTCTAAGAGTCTCTTTGTTCTTCTAATAGAGAGGATGACTCGCATATATTTTCGAGATTCTCATTGCGATTTAAGAAAATTACTTTTAATTGATTCGATGAAGCTGTCTAGATAAAAATAAAGCCCTTATTTGAAATTGATTTTTTACTGAACTTTTACGTAAGGTTTTTAGTGAGTCACTAAATTTCAAAAGTTTTCTAAAGTTCAGTGACTAATAGAGAAATTTGAAAGTTCGGTGATCGCTTGGAAATCTTACTCAAAGTTCAGTAACTAATCAGGTAATTTATCAATCTTTTATTTTTTTTTAAGTTTTTTTTTCTTCGATCTTAGAGAGGCTAGTAGACAACTTTGTTGATTATTCACTTATTCTGGAATAAAAAACTTTTTTTAATTTTTAAAATTTTTTTAAGTTTGGCGATACTAGAGAGAATAAAATTGTAAGATAAGAGTACATAAAAGAAAAAAGAAAGAAATAGACGGAAACAAAAAAGATTGATTAATTATGTGATTCTTCACTAAACTTTCTAAATAGTTTAATGCTTCAATTCACAATGAATTTTATTTTATATACATATACATATTGTAAACACACGACATATTACAATTTGTTCGTCTCCTTCTCAAAATTTCAGAATTTGAATAGTTGACACGTTATCTTGTGCATGGTCCTTCCAATTATTGTCACTTGCAAAGGGTCCAAATATCTTGTCCCTAAAATGTGGAAAGATCACACAGCCAGATGGGGTCATTGCTGCATCATTTATTGAATTAAAATGCGTTCCAACGTTAATAAGTGTAGTGGACCTTTTTATCATTTATGGTGATGCTAAACACCAATGACATAACAATACTCGCTAACTAATTAGTTTGAAAATTTGTAGATTTTAAGTTACGTAATCAGACAGGTTGACCTCGAAAAACTTGATGTTATCGTAGACAACAGATGTCTGGTCCACTCATGCCAACTCAATCAAGTTCCGATGCGTTTTGAGAAGAGAACCGGACGGAGAAGGGAAGCACTTTGAACGTGGGAGATATTTTACGATACAAGACAAAAATGTTCGAGCACCGACTGTAGTGATTAAGAGGATTGTGCTAACAAACAATCACTGACAAAATGTAAATAACTTAAGATCAAACTAACAAATATCGAACTAGCAAGAAGGTTTATTGAGAGTATTTGTTTTGAGTGTTTTCTTGTATATTAGAATCAATGTTCCAAAAGACCATCCAAAAGCCCTTTACAATTTACAAAGATCGCATATTTATAGTATTATGGCCGACGTGGTGTTCGCGGATTAGAACTACGTTGCCTCATCTCCTTGATTGAAACCTCACATCACTAAGTTTTATCATATAATAAATACATTGACAACAGGCAAGTCGCCCTATACATTAGGCTAACATACCGACATTTTTTATTACAAACGTTATATCAATCATTCCTAAAGATTGTCTACAAATCTTGTAAGAGACATCTTTAGCTTGAATGAACTGAGGGCTTCAGAGGAAGAAGCTTCGTATTGGTGGTCTTCTATGTGAAGAGCTTCGGTTCTTCTTTGATTTCTTACACAGTGTTTCGGCTCAGGAATTTCAGTCATTTAGGTATTGCTTCGTCACAAGAGCTTCATCCTTCGTTTGACTACTTTGCTTTTGACCAATTGAGTTTCTGTTGACTTTCCTTTCCACGTGAACTACGATAAAATATTTTAAACGTATATCAAAAAAATTCTCTACTTTTTGACCACACAATTTAAAACTTTTTTTTCTATGATAATGGTGGTCAAGTAGGCCTTTAAGAATAAATCTCATTTTTAGGCATGCTAGGATAGACTCTACATGGCTACAACTATAAAAGCACACAACACCATCCTACTCGTTTTTTTTTTTTGGTTTTTTTTTTTCCGACTGATGTCGAGTCGCGGGATGCAAGTGTTAAATTCAGTTAGGCCAGTTAATGTAAACCTAAACAGTTTAGTGCATTTTATTATCACGACAACGAGTCACGCTTGACGATATCAAATATCATCTAAATATCAAACTGACAAAGACGAACGTGTACATAAATTGTCTTTAATAAGCTCTATAAAATCCAACCAAATTTCACATAAAACCAATTCATACAAAAATTTGATCAGTATTCAATTTAGTCCCCAACCTGCTGTTTACAGTCTAGTGGACGGTTTATGTGACTTAATAGGTCATTTTCTGATTCCCATTATGAAACGATTGATCTTTTGCGTTTAGGTTCAAAAATTGAAAAAGACAAGAGTACATTAAGGTCCCATGAATAAAAACAATTCTAGAGCCATTTTCTAGAGAAACAACGAGTGCACTACGTAACACTCCACTCCAGTTAATATTAACAAGCGATCAAAGATCCTCCAAAAATTACATAATTGTTACAAACTTAGAAAGTTGTCGACTACTACTCGAATGTATATATTAAACCTGCCAGCGTCCCATGTCTTGATCAAGTGTTCTTTTGCAGCAAATTGCATCATTTCTTTAATCAACTGTTGATTATTAATATATAATTCACAGATTTTATTAACACAGGACAATGACCTCTAACAAATATCTTGATTCATCATTGTTTACTTTCTTGTCACATGCATTGAATTAAATAAGCATTTTTTATTCTACTTGATCTTAAAGATAAAATAAAATACAGACTAAAGAGAGCTATTGCCTAAGGAAATATACCTTGTGTGTCTTGTTCATATTTTTCTTATATTATGTCGAGTGTAATGTCTCTTTTAACTCTCGTCGAATTTAGACTTGTTACTAGGAGGAAATCTCAAAAAATCAGCTAATCCCCCTATCCAGCCTTAGTTAAATAGGGGGCTCTATTCCATCTTTGCAATCCCATTTTCATGGTTGAGTCTGCTCCCATTTTGTTCATAGCTACTACGAGCATCACGTTTAACTTCTATTTTTGCTATTAAGATATTTCAATTTGTCGAGTTATCTCGTCCGGATTCATTATTCTATTTAACATTTGTTTAGTGGGAATTAAAATCAAATTTTTAATAAATTTTAATAAAATATATATTTATAACTTTTTAGATCTTATTAAATATGTAATTAAAATTAATTGTTAATTTTTACTTCATAAAATCTTTAGCAAAGTGGTGTCATATTATTACTATCCTTATTTTTTAACTGCCATAACTTGTCTCCCCTAGATGGGATTTCCTAGAAAAAACCAAAATCGGATTCCTTTTAACTTTCTCAGCCTTCACACGCGCACACACTTCTCTCTCTTCTTGAATATGGCTGGTTTTGTATTGCTCTGTAGCTGCTGCTGGTACTCTGTTTTTTGCTCTGATTGACACCTATATAAAAGGGACCTTTTCCTTAAAGCACTTATCTTTCTATATATACATACTACTGTTGCATACAGTTCAGAGTATGTGTGTCGCTCTTTAGTCTTCATGAGAGAGAAACAAGAAAGAGAAGCAAAAATGTATGCAGAAACTGGGCTAATGGTCCCTTTTCTCCCTCAAGAAATTCAAAAGTTTGATGATTTCTGTTCCTCACAGAAACTCAATGCTTCATTGGTAGTATTCTTTTTTGATCAGCATACTGGGTTCCTTATGTATGTATGTATGTATGTATGTATTTGGTTTTTGAGCTCAATTATCTTGGAGGTGGATGATCAATTTTTGGGATTCATTTAAATTT